TTTTACTTCAGGACCGTGATTCGAACGTAGCTACAATAATTTCATTGTGATCTCGCGAAAAATTGTCCACAGATCTCATCAAAGACGAAGCTCTGACATAAAACTATTGCTGATACGATAGAGATTGAGATTATCATACATAAGTGCATGCTTTCGTTTTACGATTCTGTAAATGAACAGATGAGAACTTCGTGGAAAGGGAATGTTTTGAGATCAAGCATTGCCAGCTCAGTCTTAAAACGAGTTTTTTTCATCATCCGAGCTCGCTTGTAGTGAATATGTAGTCAGCTATTGCCAATAAACCTAGAGATAGAGAGATGAAGATGAATTTGACGCTATTAATAACCGTCTTTACTAAGTAAGTAGAGATCATCATGGCACTAGCGTAATGCTTTTATCACTGGTGGCTTTTTTATCTTTCCCTGTAGATTCAGACCAGGACCAATTCAGCATGGTTGACCCATTTGATTGTGCGTCGTATCTACCTCCTTAACGAAATATTTTGAGTTATCTTCAGAAGAAAGACACAAGGACTATAGTGCTGTCAGATTAGTGCTACTTAAATGAAAGATTGCCAGTTTTAAGATAAAAGCAGGTATAGGAAAGGAGAAATTGATTGACAATCTAAAGAAGTTAATTGACATTCCTAAAAATGACAGCGTCGTTTTGGTTAATTTTGAGGTGATTCTTCAGGAAAACGTACGGTATTCATGCAATTCTAAGTGTGTTCGTTTCGAAACAATTTTTGGATAATCTGATTTCAGTTTTTTTATATCACTGATGGCGTCTTGAGAACCATTCTCCGCTAGAATCAACTGAACTCCGTTTGAAATTTTTGACTCTTATACTAAAATCATTATTAAAATTATTGTTTCAAAGGTGAATAGGCGTTCTGCTATGGGCACAAAAAGTCAAGATAATTACGGTAATTAACCGATCATTTTAATAACTGATGGAATTCTTGTGTCGAAGAAGTTACGAGGCTTCATCCACCCTTTTAACATTGCTCTCTTTTATTCGATTGGAGTTGATCTTATTTCTATAGTTTCCAAACTTGGTTATACAGGTTATTCTGTATAAATTTGCAAAGTCAAATTTTCTACTTCCTTAAACTCAACAAACGTTTCTCCCTCTACCTCCCCTTGTTCAAACTTACATGAAAACAACATTAATTAGCCTCAGGTGTCAATGATTACACAACGTGTCCAGAGTCTTGCTCGCTACAGGACGAAAAACATCTTTCTATATTTCTTTACCGAGCTCAAAACTTACTATCTCTCTCATTCTTCACAAAACATAATGCTATCGATATTGCTGATCCCAACAGTCTCATCTGTGAACTTCGTAGTGGGCCTTGCGTAAGTGTTTAATTTCAAGTTAGAATTTGAGCTCGATTCCCGTGTTGATACACGCGCATTCGATAAACGCCAAACTAATTTAGGATCTTTTCTTTATTTATTCCTTTTCTATTCTTTGAGACGTTCTTATATCGAAGCGGTCAACTGAAATCATTACGTGAAGAAATTACCTAAGTATTATCCGATCATAGCTTTAAGAATAATATCAATTTGGGCAATGAGCACGCGGCAATTAAAGGAACCAAGAAAAGTAAAAAACTAGAGATAGGTTTCGCTTTGAATCACATCTACGAGTTAACGTAATCACAAATTAAATTGTTACTAACCAAAGTTCGCGGGTCTTGACTACTTTATCGAGGATTACGGTCTAACTTGTCTTCTATTTAGAAACGATCTTGATTACACGGGTCTTATCCTGACCTGAAAAGCTATAATTTTTCAGTTAAGCCATAATTAAAATGAAATAA